GACATGGTGTCGTGGTATGAAAGAAAGCTGCAAAAGGCTGGCTTCAGTCGGTCCTTCACGACTCCCTGGTTGGGGTCTGAGAGATGGTGCTACACAGTGGCTAGAGACGTTATCAGATATGGCTCAGAATAGAAGCCAGTGGCGATCTTGCTGTAACCTTTTACTTTCTTCATAAAAAGTGGTTGTGTCTCCCTTACCTGAAAGATTTCTTCCGATTGTACCTTTCCGTTCCCTCGTTACTACCACACTACCTTACACCAATCTCTTCGTTATTGTTCTCTCTTTTTTTGTTGCGCTCCTTAGCTTTTTTTTCTTTCTTTGTATTCCTCTCGAATTTTCATTGTTTTGTGTGGCGCATATATATTGGCGCTCTCTTGTACCAATATCATGTGTTCAAATAAAATAATAAAATAATGAGTAGAAAAATTAGATTTTCTGACGTTTCGTGACTTAGTTTAAGCTAATTCTTCAGAGAATAAATTTCCAAATCAAAATTAATCCAAGTTTAGTTTATGTACAGAAAATTTAGGTTATTTATAGCATTTCAGACTACCTGGGATTTCTAGAGGGTTCTGGAGCCCTATTAAACATAGTAGCAGAATAGGTAATTACCCATTCAGAAATGTGACACTTGACTCCTCACTTTCTAGATGTTTCCGAGAAACCTCTATTTAATGCTAATTGGGTAGTGTTTCCCAACGTTTTCAGGACCTTTTTCTGGGTCTTCCCAACAATTAGTTTACTAATAACTAAGTAACTAAAACTTTGTATTAATGGATTACTAAGTAGTGGCCAATATCATACTTGTCTCCGACTGTCGATACTGTTTCTAATCAAGTTTGAAATATGACTACTACTCTCATTTAATCAGTTTTTAACTTTCAACAGGTCTCCCTGTTTTTTAATTATTTTGTTAATGAAAATGAACTACTTCTATTGAGTTGTTACTATAGAACACAGTAAAACAGGGTAGAATTCCTTCAATATATTTAATTGTAAACATGATGGATTATTTGAAGTATTTAAACTCTTGGTTGAATAAATAATAGTGAACATATTGCTATGATCGAATCTCTCAGCTTCTATTGTTAATATTATATTTAAAATATTTCTTCATTTGGATGGAGTACTTGTGTGGAAATTATTTTTAATTTGTAGGTAGGATTCATCGCGTAGTAATTTTAGTTGAAGTAGCGTTAAAACCAGGGAGGACAGAACAGCTGTTACAACTGGTTACGCGGTTCCTCAGACGTGTGCATCCATAACTTGGCCAGTAGTTGGAACGAGGATCTTCAAGACAATCTCTAGTAAATCGCACATCTAAAGCCAACTTATCGATGTAAAAGCACTCTAACAAAACTATTAAAGTGACTTAATGTTTGCATACTTCATAATGAATTCTTAAGGTTCTAATAGAAAGTTGTGGCTGGTAAGATTCAAATGTTTTAGGAGGACGGATCAGTCTGAACCAGTGATATTGGATGATCTTGAGGATTAATTGAAGTTCTGATGGCTTATTGGTTAACGATTTGGTGTAAAACCGAAATTTTCTGTGATTGATTCCTAAACTGATCATAGTCGGGTATTGTTAATAATTATGTCATGTGAACAAAAAATAGCCATTCAATTTCTTTTTTTTCTTGGTTTTCAATGATATTTTATTTTAGGTTAATAAACAATAAATGTCATCTAGAAATCAATTTATTAGTACTAGTTTAGTATCTAAAGTATTTCTTACTAAAATATTTTTTCTTAGATATCTTTATTTCTGTCATAACTGTGTCTGTAGATTAGATGGCAGCGTATTATCGATCGGACCAAAGACGCGTAAACACGTAAGAACGGCCTAGAGTTCTCATTGGCCCCGCTTCCCTGTCTAGCCCAGCCAGTTGAGTCCAGAACGTAAGTCTCAGCCTCTGAGATATGAATCGCTATATTTAAAGCATACTCTGTTTATATAGTAATCAAGCAGACCACATCGTACCATAAAATAGAAAATAACATTTGACACGTGAAATAAGTATTGACCAGTAGGAAAATGATACCATCTCAAGTCCAAGAATAGCATTAGACTTAATAGGATAATTTTTGGGATATTTTTGTAAATATCCCAACAGTTTTTTAACTCCGCCTGGAGCCCCTCTGTGGCTACAGCCGGTCCCAAGCCCGGATAAAGGAGGAGGGTTGGGCATGGGGTTAGCGACCCCATCTCGTCGAAAACTGACTCGTTAAACAAAACGCTAACCAGAAAAAAATCTTTATTTCTTAAAAATATGATAAAATTTCTTATAAAATTCAGTAGTCTATTCAATAGTCTTTATTTAGTTATTCAGTTTGTTGATTGTATACAATAAAACAATGAAAATACATATAACACCATATGAACTTCCGATAGTTATTGTCGTTTGATGTGAAAAAAAACGTGACGCACACACACACACACACAAACATACCAAACGCAAATTGTGTAACATCATGTAGAGATGTACTTTAATCCCTTTTGTTTTACATACAAAACTTTTTTTTAATTTTTGGTAGCAAATTTTACACTAAAAACACATACGATGAAAAATATTATACAATTTATTTTGAATTGCTTGATAAGAATTTCAGGTTTTCTATGGTGATCTAGCTTCAATTGATTTATGAATTCAACTATGAAATTATTATATTATGCACAGAAACCCCTTCTAGGACTAATCAACATATGCTCACTAGTGACTGGCCTCAAGAGGTATTTCCTAAAGTTGTAGTGAAAAGCAGTGATCAGTAGAGTTCAACCAGGTCTGTTGTGAGATAATAACTCACTGAAGACAATCTTGGATGTTTCGCTAAATTTCGGGGATTAGTTGAAGTTAGACATTAATACCATTAGATACCAGGTCAGTGGTCTAGCGGTTAAGCGTTCGCGCGCGAGACTGATAGGTCCAGGGTTCGAGTCTCGCGAGGCCGGATCGTGGATATATATATACTATGGTGTACCTGAGAAAATAGTCCATATCATATGGAATTCATATGACGAACTATACTCAGTCAGTAACAACGTAGAACTTCGTACGTACGTACATCAGTTCGAGTTGCCATACCACATTAACACAGAGATGCAGGTGTCGATTCAAATCCCATAGTGGTAGAGGTAGTAAGAGTATAAGCAGTAATCGGAAAGATTAGGGTTTGAAGATGTTATTCAAGGAGTATAATTCAGTGAAATAAATTTCGAAAGAGACAAAAAGGCACACGAAGAATTAAGTTTAGAATTCGGGAGAACACAAAGAACAGATGCACCTGCACCATTGCAAACAATTTTGAGCCATATCATCCAAGGTCTCTAACCATCGGTTGCTATCGTCTCGCGGATCCCAAGCAGATAGTCTGCACCTAACAACATGGCTCAGTTCACTTGTCAGTGACTTCATGGATTTGTGCCATGTTTTGGTCTGGCCGCCCCTAGCTTTCTCCCAATCTACTCCTATACCATTGAACATCGCACGTCGAGGCAGTTGGTGGTTGGGCATACGTAACACATGTTGCATGGAGAACAGCTGACAGATGTAGTGAAAATGAGAACCGAAGTCAGATAAGGCTGTCCACTGTCTCTCTTTATCTTTGTTCTTGTAGTTGGCTGGACTGTGGAGACCCCCACATCGGAGGGAAAGCACAGAATACAATGGACAGCTCAGAATCAATGAGATTTGGACTTCACAGATGACCTAGCTATTCTATCACATACACAAATGCAGATGACGACAACCAGTATAGCAGCGGCCTCTCCAACAATAGGCCTCAACATAAATAAGGGAAAATTCAATGTCCTCAAATACAACAAGGAGAACACCAACACAGACACACTTGAGGGAGAAGCTCTGGTAGAGCTGGAAGCTTTCACGTATCTGTGTAGCATTATCAATGAACAAGGAGGATCGGATGCAGACGTAAAGGCAAGGATTGGCAAAGAAAGGACATCATTTCTACAGTTGAACAACATATGGAACTCAAAACAACTGTCAACCAATATCAAATTCACAATCTTCAATAGGACGTCAACATAATTCTACTGTACGAAGTTGAAATTTCGAGAACTACCATCACCATCATCAAAAAGGCACAGGTATTTATAAACAGTTTTCTACGTAAGATAATGAATGTCCGTTGACCAGATACTATCGGCACCAACCTACTATGGGAGAGAACAAACCAAATTTCATCTGAAAAGGAAATTAGGAAAAGACGATGGAAGTGGATAGGACACACATTGAGGAAATTAAAAAACTGCTTCATGAGTCAAGCGCTTATTTGGAATCCTGATAGGAAGCGGAAAAGAACAAGGCCAAAGAACACATTGCTCTGACAATTAGAAGCAGATATGAAAAAGATGAATAACAACTGGAACCAACTGGAAAGAAGTGATCAAGACAGAGTTGGGTAAACAAGGTTGATGAGCAGCCTATGCTACTCCATGAGAGATTTTTTTATTTTTATTTTAACACACAGATATTGGTAAAAGAAGGCACCAAATAAATATGCGCCACACAAATCTCATTTGATATGTGTGAAGGCTGTGATACTATCCCGGTGCGCAAAGCGAAGCAGGTGGTTTCCACACAACCGGAGCCTTCGACCTGAAGGTCTGATCCGCAAGGCAGTGGAGCGAAATCAGGAGATTAATAATTGGTTTATACGTCATTTGTTCCTTGAGGATATTGGAGCCCATGTGCACCATTGGTTTGGAATCAGAGTTTTCCAACTCCCCTAGGTGGACTCTCTGTATCCACCAACCTGTTTAAAGTGCCGGACATTAACGTTTCATTCTCTCAGTTTCGTAAACAACACCCCTGCCACGAGAAGGCAGTGAGTATGACTTCCATGGCAGATACGCGTGGCCATGTGAGAGCATTTTTCAAGGAGAAGCGGACTCTCCCCACTCTCGACCGTACCAGGATATTTCGGGGCCCATGAGAGATAACATGCATAAGTAATTTATGTACATACTAAAAGCTTACTTTTTCTGTTTCCAATCGATCGACTACACGTAGAGGTAATTCTGGTAATTCTCCATCATCATGAAATAAATTCACTGTTACTAATGGTGTTTTATTTTTATTTAAATTTATTTTAGGACTAGATATAGTACGTTTCAATGAATTTTTTATTGTATATTTATCATTCATTATTATACTATCTATAAGAGTTTGATTTGATGAATAAGATGTTTTAGGTGATGATGAATCATTAGTATAATTGCATGAACCTAATGATGATGATCTTGATAATGAATTTAATGTTGTCAAAGAGGAATAAGTAGATTCATCAGCAAAATGTACATGTTTGAAAGTATCCGATAATCTATTATAATTTAAATAATTTGTAATATCTATAAATTGATTATTATTATTATTATTATTATTATTATTATTATTATTATTATTATTATTATTATTATTATTACTAGAATGATTCTTCTTCATGGTTTCATTGTCTAATTCATTCTCATAATTCATATTATTATTATTGTTATTATCATTATTATTATCTTGATCTTTATTATCCATCTCATTACTTGTTAAGGTTTGTTGTATCCATTTACCTAAATGACAATGTGTATCTTTATAGAATGGATGATATTTAAGTTTTTCAAATGGTGATATTAATTTCCATTTATTTCTTGTATTTAACATAATTGATGTACTTGGTAAATTGGAACATTTATAATCTGTTTGATTGAATTGTTGTTGTCGATATAATAATGATGACGATGCTGATGCTGATGTTGACGCTGATGTTGATGATGGTGATGGTGATGATGATGATGCTGATGACAATGACATTAACTCTGATGTTGTTGATGATATTGGTTGAGTTATACATTCAAGTGATGGTACACAATTTAATGTATATAAACAACATATATTACCGGTTGTTAAAGAATGTTTAATATATGATGATTGTAATTTTATGTTAGATAATTGACATGAAAATTTGCTGATATCATTCCTTATTTGATTATGAATTGATTTTGAACTTGGATTATAATCATAATGAAAATGAATATGTGAACATTTATGTATATAATTATGCATATTATAAGGATGAAATAAACAACTTTCAGAATGATATTTCCGAGATAATAATATTTGTATATTATCATTAGGTTGCTTTGAATAGTCAATCATCTGTCCTGTATCTAATCTTTCTACTTTTAATGGATTATTCAATGGATCATGAGTAGATTGAGATTGACATGGACAATTTTGTTGATGTTGATGATGATACTGCTTTTGCTTCTGATGATGACGATGATGATGATGATAACGAGGATTATAATGATGATGATGATGATGATTATGATCATAATTTGTAAAAGACATATGAATATGTTTCGATTCAATTCGTTGAGATTTCAATGATGAACGTGACCATATACTACGTAATCGTAAGATTAAATTTATACGAAATTTTTCAGTTTTACATGATTTTAACATTTTAGAATTTGACAAATTGATCATTGAGAATAATTTAGATTTTCCAGTTGAATTAATTGCATTATCTTGTATTGAATTATTTATTGACTTATTAATTGAACCATTGGTTTTATTTGTTATGTAATTAGTTTGTACAATATAATCACATGGATGTTTTTTATAATGATGATATTGTTTATCTACAGGAATCATTTCTATAGAATATGAGTAAATAAATAAATATATATATCAGAAGGGGGTTTGTGGAGAATACAGTAATTTTAATAGTTGAGATCATGAGTCATTTGATACTAGACCATCATGGAAAATCTGAAAGCACTGGACAGCTGTTTCGTCCTAGTATGGGACTCCTCATCAGTGCTTATCCACGATTTCACCTCGCGAGATTAGAATTCACGACTTATCGGTCTCGCGCGCGAACGCTTAACCTCTAGAGCACAATTGCATGCCGGTTCAGTGGTCTATAGGTTAAGCGTTCGCGCGCGAAACCGATAGGTTCTGAATTCAAGTCTCGCGAGGTGAGATCGTGAATACGAAAGTTTGTGCTGATGATATCGTTCAGAAGAACGTTGAAAGCCCCACGACCAAACCATCCAGCTCAGAAAACAAACCCCCGTCAAAAAGATCGTGGATCAGCATTGCTAAGGAATCCTACAGTAGGACGAAACAGGTGTCCAGTGCTTTCCAGTCTTCTCTAGTGGTCTATCTTCAACTGACTCATGATCTCAACTATTAAAATGAATATATATAATACCTTCTATTAATATACAGTAATTAATATTTATTAATTATATTATTTACTACAATTATTATGTAGAGTTATTGAAACGAATGATGCACAAGATTGAAAGCAAAATCTATACAAAAACGAGTTGACATTTAAATGACCACTGAATAATGATCGATATCATGTTTTTCTGGTTTTTTTTTAAAAAAAAGTGTTTATCAACTTCTATCGATCAATTACCTCACTGTAGTAAACATGGTATCCAGTCATTCAAACTAATGGTAACATTTCAATTTAATCAATGTAATCTAGTCATTACTAAAGGATTAGACAAACATGATATTCGTTACTATTCATTCATCAATATTCTAACCATATGGAAGATCATTTGTATCAAGTATAGTCTACTAAAAACGTTTCAGTCTATGAAACTAGGTGATTCAGTATCGAATCCGATGAGGAATATTAGTTCCTTCAATATACAAACTTTATAGATCACATTTATAATAACTTTCAACTATCATCACTGATCACAGACTGATTTCAGTAAGATAATCACTGACAACGACGGAAAACTAAACAGACGTTTCAGTCTAGTCTCAAAACTCTCTTGAAGTGACTAAGGTCCGAATTCATGAGTGTCAATCTCACAGTGACGACATTAGCTTTAGGCTATAGCACACTTCATTCATGATGTATTTGAGATAAATTTATTTCATAAAATAGTGTATTCTTAGTTTGTTTCTGTTTTCAGTTGTTCTTTTTCTATACCTCGTATAGCATTCATATTTTCAGATTACCATAGATTTCCGATTACTGGATGATTAGTTTAGATAAAGATTCAATGTAAAATACTTGTAAAGTATTTTCTCTCACTTTTTTGTTTCGATTATCAATTGAAATGATTTGTCAGAATTATTCTTCATAATTTCTCTGTCTTATAAACAACTAAGTTCATTTGATTTGTAGGAATTAGCAACACTATATTACTGTTCCGTCGTTGATCTGTACACCCAATAATATACAAGAGAGAACGTGTCTAGATCTAGATGAAGGCCTTGACACAAGAAGCTAGTCGGTTTAAGCTTGAGGTCAGAAACTTGGGAATCCGGATCCAGACCAACGACCTTGATCAGAGAGACGAAAACTATCCTATCACCTGGTTGGTTAACAAGCGAGAGAAAGACATAGAAGGAGAAGACGAGTCATCTGGAGCACCACTCGATTTATCCTGAAGCCCGACTCAGATTTGTGTAAAAGATGATTAACATGACCATAACGCACAAATAATTAGAAAAATAAAATAAAGTCCAAACTGGGAATTAGTGTAGAAAGATAGAGTATTAAATGTTACATTTAAATTAGAATAGTTTTTGGACAGAAAAGAGTTTGGCAGTAAATCATACATCGAACGAAAACCTATAGTTTATAGAATAACCTATGGAGAAGACTAAATGTCATTATTTACCAAGCTTCGAACTAAATGAAGCAACGTCAGTCAGTGGTCATGTGTGCTGTTTGATATATGAGGGGAGTTACCACTTCCCGGCTGCCCACATCTAAGAAGGGTTCTTCTGGAGGTACTTGAAAACGAAGTTGGATTACAGGTGGTCTTAGTGACCTGAGAGCGTGACCTCAGTGCCCAGGGGACAACTGATTGAGGTCGGTCACACAAGACCTTTTTGTGAGCAGTTTTATTGTTAGCTCCGTACTTTTTGAGACCTCACCGCCAGAGACGGTTATCTGTGTGCATTTTTAGGATTGACCTCTTCTAACCCCACCCCTCCTCATGGGAAGGCAGCATTGCTGTCATGCTGGTTATCTGAAAGAAACACCTTACTGCTATCACACCTCTGTACAGTCAGCAGTACGACTTTGCCTTCGGATCTTGGGTTTGCTTCTCCTAGTCTTCCCGTTCTTCAACCAACTTGTGTGGTATGGTAGGACCTTGAGGAGCGATTGTTCCAGCCAGTATAATCCGATTGGTTCAACACGATATTCAAGCTCGACCACCACGTCGAGGTAGCGACAACGGTTGGGGTGAAATAACGTCCCAAAGAATAGCTTCCGTTGTTTGTCATGGCCTCCTTATTTATCTGCTCACGTCAATTACCAATTGTTAAACTGATTAGCATGTCTTAAACCGATTGGGTTGTATATCAGTATTGAAATTCTATCTACGTTTTAATAAAATTTATTCATTCTTTAGACTAAATAATGAAGTACTCTAAGTGTTACAACTATGTAGACAACTTGATCTCTTAAAATTAGATAATAAATGATTGATTAGAGGTAGAAATTTAAAATCACAGAAACGAACAATACGTTTGTCTTCCTGTTAATACTACTAATAAACCGTTAAATTACCTTTTAAGATATATGTTAGTTGACAATTTATTGGTCACCAAGTGGTGACCAGTTTCATGGAGATCACATCCTTCTTTACTGCTGATAGAATTCTATCGATCAAGCCGCAATAAGACCACTAGTCTAAGTGACTCCATGTTGAGATGTAAGGTGTTGAATGTGAAGGCAATCGACAATAAATCCTGAACATCGGTTTCGTGTTATTTCACACTCATCAGTTCTACAAATTGAGCTTAGTTCTACTTAGAAGTAGTATTAAGTTTTACTGTTGTGACTTTAAGCCCGGTTAGTTATCATGCGATTTATCCGCCAATCGAAATACGACTTATACAATCATAGCACTGTGCCAAACCAATGACGTTCGACAGGTATGAGCAGCCTAGAGTCCCTATTAATTCTTTGTCCGCCTAGCCCGTTCACTTGAGTCCAGAACGCCGATAACAGCTTCTACCATGCGAATCATCTATTTCAAAACATACTTGGTTTATATACCAGTCAAACAGACTACACTACACCATAAAATAAGAAATAATATTTATGCAAGATCAAACCAAAAAGTGGTTGTGATTGTGGGAGACTGTAAATAATAGACTGAACATAACTTAAGAACAGTAAATCGTATAATAATAGTCCATATATCAAAATGAAGCTTATAATAAGATGAATATAGTTATACACGATCTATTTACTGAATAATTATACAATAAGAATATATAGATAATATTAGTCCACTAATAGTTCTCAGAAGTTACTCGTAATTTAATCTTCGCTAGAATATAACACTTTTAACCTTTTAAATACTTACATCTTAGCTCCTTCGTAGACGCACATATTATTTTGAATCTTAAGCGTCAAATGGAAACATGAAAGGAACTTTACTTCAAAGGTTAGATTACATACATAAAACAAGTACTCGTCCTGGAATCCGGAGGTGTTTATTGTTGTTGTGAAGAATGATCGATTATTCCAAGTCAGTAAACGTAGAATGTGAATCTAACTTTCAATCTTAGTATTTTGAATATTTTCACTGTCAAAATTCACATGTTCCATACTGTATTATAAACTAAATCTATTACTTAAAAGTTGTCTACGTTACCTTTGTGCTAGTTGGCACTCGTTAGTAACTTTCACTTACAATCTTGAAAGAATTTGTGGTGCTGATGAGATTTGAGCTTGGGTCTTGCAGCTTCCACAGTCTGAGATGTTATCTCTGAGCTGTTTCGGACAAAACTGACTTCCTGCAAGAATGAGATATTCAAGTTAACTGATCAGTGTGTAGTAACTAAGATCGTATATATTTGGTTTTTTAGTAGTGTTTGAATATCTATAGATTAAGTTACAGTGTATTCATTCGTCTAAGTGACTGGACATTTCATACACTATGTTGAGATACTGGCTTCATTGATTATATAATCACTTATATGTTGTACCATTGTGTCTTTATTCGATTGTATGAAAACTAAACATATGACGTCAATATATATCCTACTCGTAGACTGACACATTTTTATCTTAATCAATCACTATGGTTGATCTAAATGTAACTAAATTAGGTCAATCGATTAGGTTTGTTAGGGGAAGTAGTATATCACTGGACTAGAAATCTTGTGATTCCCATCATAAATCTTTATCTAGTACATATTGTAATAAATTTTATCGATTTAAAAAAATTAATCATCCTTCCATAAAATATGAGTTTCTAATTTGTATTGTAATTCTTTTTATTTACTTCCAAGTAGCTCCTCGCTGATTCAGTAATTTTCTTAACTTAATGATTTATTTAAGAGTATTTATCAAATATCAACCGATTGACTGATGATATCTTCGCCCCCAAATGCCCTGGTACGACCGAGGGTAGGAAGATTCAGCTCTCCCTCTCCAAATGCTCTCACATGGCCACGTGCAAACAACCACTGCAAGAGAATTCCTACTCACTACCTTCTCGCAGCGTTACTGTTGTTTACGAAATTCAGAGGACGAAACGTCAATGTCCGGCGCTTTAACCGGGTTGGTGTACACGGAGGGTTCACTTAGGGATTTGGAAAACCCTGATTACAAACCAGTGGTGTACATGGGCTCTAGGATCCTCAAGGAACAAAT